TTCATTTGTTGTGTTCTGTCAGTCTGAGAAAATTCAACGAATCTGATGTGAAGTAATTTAAATGATTTGATCTGATCTGATCAATATTTGAGAAAGATGGCCCTCGATCTCCTGCCATGATATCACATTTGTAAGAAGATGGAATATCAAAATGTTTTTGACAAGCAGCCTAGTTTAATGCTATCTAATGTCATGACATCTCCCCGTTAAATTCCACCATTGTGAGGGGACCAAGACGGCGATATTTTTGACATTTACCCTCAACATGTTCTGAGAGCCTTTGAACAGTTAAATATTCCAAGGTTTCGCCATCACTAGTTTGGTTTCTACGTTTGGCAATTTGGGCCTTAAAATCTGTCCATTTTCGTTTAGACATAATTATTTGCTCCGTTAAGGGGGAGGTTACTCGCAAGAGCACAAGGGAAATAACTCCTGCTCACACTAGTATGCAATGACGTCATTGCTTGGATGATAGAAAGTGTGACTGGATAATCTGGACACTATGGCGCAGTAAATGAAGAAGAATTTTTTTTTTAAAACGAAAATAAAAGTAAAAGTAAAATGATTTTAAAAACAAAACGGTCATGGCTACCTTCTAAAATATATTAATAAAATAAACAAAATCACAAGGTGGAAGAAATCACCTTCAAGATTTACAAGCCGTTTGTCTAATTGTAAATATCTGAAACAGAATTATTTTAGCTGAGCTAATCAGTTATCTATAGTGTTCACAGCTCATCGTCGAAATCTGGGCCTTCAAATACATGATAAAATTAGAATGTATACCAACAATTGTCATATATTTAATATATTATCTTCTATTTGGACATGATAAATATACTTTAACAGCTACCATGTGATCAGAGAGTCTCAAATATTAGCTCTGCTACATTGTCAGTACCATTGGTCATTCGTCCATCCCTTCACATAGAACGCAATATAAGCCACAGTTTTAATCTCATTTTGACATTATTGATGTTTAATAGTGAGATTATAAAATGTTTTAAACATTCACGTCGCTCTAAGTAGACAAATTGCTAGGTTATTTATATTATTCAAGCTCTATCAGATGGCAAATAAATATTTAAACGACTGTGTTTTTTGTAACCTACCTTTCTTGTCCAGTTCGACACCAGCAAACAACATGTTAGGTTGTCCGATTCTGTCTAAATGTCCGATATATCTGATAAAACCACCTCGACCTTCTTTATCACTAATATGATCATTGACTTGAATTCTTAGATTTGAACTGCAAAAAAAGAAAATAAACAAAAAACAATTTTTGGAAAAATGTTTATTTTGGTACTTAAGTTTGTCAACTCAGCATCCCTTTCAGAGAGACCACAGAGCTAATATTGTTTATTTGGTATTTAGGTTTGTCAACTCGACATCTCTTTCAGAGAGTCCACATAGCTAATAATGTTTATTTGGTATTTAGGTTTGTCAACTCAGCATCCCTTTCAGAGAGTCCACATAGCTAATTATGTTTATTTGATATTTAGGTTTGTCAACTCAGCATCCCTTTCAGAGAGTTCACATAGCTAATAATGTTTATTTGGTGTTTAGGTTTGTCAACTCGACATCCCTTTCAGTTATCTTTACATCCTCTAGATTGACTCCCTGTTCTAAACTAACTCGCTAGTTTTTAATTCTAACAGACTTACTTGACTGAGAATTTCTGTGGTTCTTCCTCTCCTCTATCCATAGAGAGTCTATCTCCGATAGCTTCTTCACATGCTGAACATTTACATCCCACTAGTGGTTCAGGATACAACGCCGTCGATAAACTTAATTCAGGTTTCTGTATTCTTCCTTTCTTTAAACTAGAATTTTATTAATTCAATCAAAGATTGTAATCTGATGAACGAGCCTTTGATGATAGAACTATCAAAATCACATGACCACGTGACAATCTGAACAAAGTAAGGGACACTATGGCCATCATTTAATACTGTGATATGTTCTAGCGATGGACAAACAGGTCAGTGGCATTTTTACAGTCTAAAATTTCTCATCAACGAGTAACTGGTGCTATTCTATTTATTAAAAATTTGACTTAGTAAGTCGATGTAGAGATTCGACATTACTGTAAACTAAATTCGTGTGTTTTATTTTCATGTAAGAACAATATATAGTTTCATATGGAGTCTCAGTTTCACAATACAAGTCAAATACATTACCTTGATCTTAAAGATTTCAGAACAATGGGTTTAAAGAGAGATTTCTTTGATTTTTCACGTTTTAATCCGAAATCTTCACCAATTCCATTTTCAACATTCATCTCGTGGTATTTATCTTTAATAACTTGACTGGCCTGTCAACAAAATAATAAGAATATTATATTTTATCAAAGTTTGTTTGGACAATATTTATAATAACTTGACTGGCCTGTCAACAAAATAATAAGAATATTATATTTTATCAAAGTTTGTTTGGACAATATTTATAATACCTTGACTGGCCTGTCAACAAAATAATAAGAATATTATATTTTATCAAAGTTTGTTTGGACAATATTTATAATAACTTGACTGGCCTGTCAACAAAATAATAAGAATATTATATTTTATCAAAGTTTGTTTGGACAATATTTATAATAACTTGACTGGCCTGTCAACAAAATAATAAGAATATTATATTTTATCAGAGTTTGTTTGGACAATATTTATAATAACTTGACTGGCCTGTCAACAAAATAATAAGAATATTATATTTTATCAAAGTTTGTTTGGACAATATTTATAATAACTTGACTGGCCTGTCAACAAAATAATAAGAATATTATATTTTATCAAAGTTTGTTTGGACAATATTTATAATAACTTGACTGGCCTGTCAACAAAATAATAAGAATATTATATTTTATCAAAGTTTGTTTGGACAATATTTATAATAACTTGACTGGCCTGTCAACAAAATAATAAGAATATTATATTTTATCAAAGTTTGTTTGGACAATATTTATAATAACTTGACTGGCCTGTCAACAAAATAATAAGAATATTATATTTTATCAAAGTTTGTTTGGACAATATTTATAATAACTTGACTGGCCTGTCAACAAAATAATAAGAATATTATATTTTATCAAAGTTTGTTTGGACAATATTTATAATAACTTGACTGGCCTGTCAACAAAATAATAAGAATATTATATTTTATCAAAGTTTGTTTGGACAATATTTATAATAACTTGTATTCATTCTATAACATTGTTTCTCATACTTTATGTTGACAGTGGCGGCACCAGTACATTTGCCTCCCTAGAAAAGTGGTTTGTACCCCCAAATTGTACCCCCACTTTATTTTCAATAAATCTAAATGTCTACCTTTTTTCTCCAAAATATGTGTCAGAATGCACAAAATCAATTAATTTTTTATGAAATTTTCTTTAGAGAACCCACTAAGACGTTCCTTGAGAGGCTTGCGACTATGACACCATCACAGAGCTAAAATTTGTATTCAGCCTCAATAGTTGTCTCCCCATTGAGTCAGTCTCTCCCCTATTTGTACCCACAGTCTCGGAAGGCTGGCGCCGCCACTGATTGTTGGCCTTTCTGTCCATTTAAATCGACCAGTTGATCAGACCCTATCCACCTGATCCACATGTCATCAGATGCTAGCAGACGTTTAGATTCCAGTTGCTCCAAAATTCAAAGTCAACTTCGTCCCATTTACTATGAATAATTTGACTCTTTTGACACCAACAAGGCTTGAAAACTCAATTGTTTTCATGTAATATTATATATGTCTTGTGTGGTAAATTCTGACCTCCAGTGCCTGTAATTTATCTCTCAGACTCTCAATTTCTCTCTTGGCTTCCTCCAACTCTTCATTTAATCTCTCATTTAGTTCTTTACCTAATTAAAAACATAACGGATTGTTCAGGTTAAGTACAGTGTAAGAAGAGGTGTGTATTATTCAAGTCTACGCATTATATTAAGAACTATACGTTATAATATTTAATCTTTAAATGACATTTAGAAGTAAATAGAATATCAAATAAATAAGACCACTATTATAGATATACTACTCCTTCCTTTAATTTCTACAATGTTTCAATTCACATACTAAAATCTTTAAAAATTATTAAGGTGTAATATTAATATTTGTATCAAAAACATGGAACTTCCGCCGCACATATTTTGACATAAAAGATTGTGGGTGCTGAAGTAGAAAAAGATAAAAAAAAATGTACTAGGTTGGTAGGTCGCTCATATTGGTCATTCTAGATGAGGAGAGGAGAGGGGAGGGGTGTTTCTAGGCAAAAGATTTAGGGTAAACTACTGGTTAATATTTGTTTCAGGCTGATAGTGACAGCTCTCGTGACAGCTGAATCCGAGAACTGAAAATGTGTTTTAGCTGAAGGGAGATTCATCTAGGGCTCTCTACAAAACAAACCCTACTAATGTTTTCATATTGGAACTTATGATGTTAAAAATATTTAAACTTACTTTGTAACAACTTGGCATCGTCATGGTTACCAGTTCTCTCCTCTGATTGTAAATAACATTGTACTTCTTTTGATACTTGAGGACTGAAATAAAACAAGGTTCTAGGCTGGTCAGGGGTCGTTTTATGACAGTTAAAATTTCAGGCGCAAAAACGATAAAAACCTGTGAAAAGGGAAATTTCAGAACTTATAGAAATATCAAAAAAGTCAAATGTTGGTTGTTTTTATAATATCTATACTAGAAACCATGTTGTATTTACTTTGAGAACGAGGTATCACACTTTCCTAAATCGCTTTCAAGAGTACCTGTACTTTAAAAATTTGAGTCTTTCGATCTCCTTGCTCAGTCCCAACTGGTTGTTTTACAATATCTAAACTTAAAATCAAGCTGAATTTACTCAGTACGAATCAAGT